TATTTGTAAATGGAATCTGACATATTTAAAAAGGAAACTACATCATGATCAAGTGGGTTATTCTGGGAATGCAAGGTCGACTCAACATTCGAAAATTCATGTAGTCTACCATGTGAACAGACTAAAGAGTAAAAACTATAGGAACATCTCCATAGATATATAAAACATTTGACAAAATCCAACATTCATTTAAGATAAACATTTTCAGCAAACCTAGGGATAGATGAGAATCTCCTCAACCTACGAAAGTGCTCTACAAAAAAAAAAAAAAATCATCATCTAGCATCATACTTAATAGTGAAAGACTGAGTACTGTTCCCCCAAGATCAGGAAGAGAGCAGGGATGTCTGTTATCACTGTTACTATTCAACATTGTACTGCAGGTACTAGCCAGTGTAATAGGCATGAAGAAGAAACACAGGGCATGCAAATTGGAAGAGAAGAAATAAAATTATTCTCACTTGTAGACAACGTGCTTATCTACACAGAAAACCCTAAGAAATTACAAGAAAAAACCTGCCAGAACTAATACGTGAGCTTAACAAGGTTACAAGATACAAGGTCAATGTACAAGATCAGTTGTATTTACATACGTATATTAGCAAACAACTGGAAATTGTTAGTAACTTTTAAAAAAAAGTATCAAGTTAAGGTAAATTGTGTCATTCTGTGTTTTGTCTTGCTATTTTCTTGAGGGCCATAAGCATTCTATTTTGTGTGTATGTTGCTGTGGTATTTTATTTTACATTACAGATTTTGACATTTTAAAGATGGAAGAGAACATGTATGTAGGCTTTTGGAGAGGGAAATTTTGTTAAGTTGACAATCCATAACAAGCACATTTTGAAGATTTTTGTCATTAGAGTAGTTACTTGCTTTCCTGATTAGAGGATTCTTCCATAAATAATTAATGGCAATTATGAGACTTATTTCTGAGTGTTTATGAAGGATAGTATTTTGTTATAAGAGAAAGTGTTAACCAGATTTTATAATTACACAAGGAGCTTTTTTCTAAAGCTTAAGCTGAATTGTATTACACTCTGTTGCCCAGGCTAGAGTGCAGTGGCTTGTCATAGCTCACTGCAGCCTCAAACTCCTGGGCTCAAGCAATCCTCCTGCCTCAGCCTTCTGAGTAGCTGGGACCACAGGCTTGCATCATTGCACCCGGCTAATTTTTCTATTTTTTAAGTAGAGACAGGGTTTTGCTCTTGCTCAGGCTGGTCTCGAACTCCTGAGCTCTAAGCGTTCCTCCTGCCTTGGCCTCCCAGAGTGCTAGGATTACAGGTGTGAGACACCACGCCTGGCCTATATTACTCTTAAAAAATTTTTTTAATAGTTAAAGTAGTTCAGCATGTTAGTAGAAGTTAAAATAATGTAAGCGTGTAATTCATACAATAGTCCAATTAGAATATGTCTCTGTTCCTTCCTCCTCTATTGCTAATACTGAATCCTATACTTTCAATGCCGAGTCCTTAATACTGTTACAATCCTTCTCAACATAGGCTTCCAAATATTTATAATTGACATTGGGATCAAATCTATTTGCTGTTTCTTTTCTGGAGTTTTAGAGCTGGGAGACATAGTAAAGATTTTCTAATTTAGTTCCATTTTATTGATTAATGAGCTGAGGCTCTGACAGGCCAGTAGACTGACAGGCCAGTGACTGGACAGACTGTCATAATATTCCTGGAGGATGTTTTAGTGTTTCCTCATGTTCAACCAAAGCCTCTAGCGTGGATAGCAATCCTTAATGGGCACCAAGTTCTTAATAAAACTGAAGTGGAATATTGCAGCTACTCTAAAATATGAATATTTGGTATCTGATAGAAGAACATTTAAGGTAATTGTTATGGTTCAAATTTTCAGATATATAAGCTGTTTATAAAAATTGGGTTGTATTTTGCTTGTGATACTATGTTTTTCTTAATCATTGCCAAATTACTTGGTTTTGTGATAGCCACTTGGTTATTGCAATGTTGTAATGCATTCTTGAGAAAAGGAAGTATTTTTATTGGATTTTATAAACATTGCTTGTGTATCGAAGGGTACTTGCCTATTCTTTAAAAGGTTTTTT